CATTTGCTGGCTTCAATTTTGAATGAAGATTGTGATTTGAAGATTCCTCGTTGAAGTGGGTGTTTGGACATACCCAATTGTTTGAGAAGTGATTCCGTTTTCACAGAATCCATCTTCTAGCTGCTGTTCAAGAATTCTGAACTGTAGCACTTTACTTTGTTTGTCTTCTTGTGCTTGTTTAGGAATTCTGGTCAGGCTATTCAATGTAGAGGGTCAGACTTTGTCTTCGAGTCATTTGTTCTTGAATCAGCATAAATATCTTCAATCTAGCCGTTGAAAATCAAGAGATTGATTTTTCCTTACCAACAGGTAGAATTTCTTCATTCAAGACTTAGATAATTTTTCTAAGTCTTTTCTCACTTGTCCGCTTTCTGAGAATTCCGGTCTTCAATGAGTCTTCCGATTCTTAGCTGACAAATCCGGAGGAGTCATTTTTAGTCTTCCGGGTGAGAAAGAAATTCGCGCTAGTCTTCCGACTTAGCCTTCAGCGGTTTGTAGCGAGACATCCGGTTCTCATGTAGTCTTCCGGATAGGAGGATTTTCATCTCTTTGAGAAATCCTTACTTGTCTCTGACATTTCCGATCAAGATATCCAATTTCCATATCACCGAAATTGATTAAGTCTTCAGGCATCAAAACGCTTAAAGAAATATCACAACTTTATTGGAAATCTCAAGAGCTCGGTTTTGACAATATTTCTAAAAAGAAAAATTACATTGAATAATGGGGGAGACCTAAAGTCCCTATTACATTCTAAATACATCATCATCAAAATCTATAATATTTTTCCCAACAAAATCTATCCGTTGGAGGACAACAGTAACCCAGATAATCGATTGTCAACAAGTGATAATCGATTATTGGTCCTCTCAGAAGATTCTGCGTTTTGGCTGCGAAGAATGATAATCAATTGTTGCAGATTGACAATCAATTAGTGCGTGCTTCAGAGCTTTGGAGTTCAAAGCTGCAGAGGCAGATAATCAATTTTCACCAAAGTGATAATCGATTATCACCTAGCTAAAGTCTAGCTAGCTGAAACCCGTTTTGAAAAGCCGAGGTCCAAAAACGAAGTGTTCCCGAAAGAAAACACCAGGTTTTAAAAACATTGTATATGGTATAAAATAGTGAAAACAAGACTTGTTTGGTAAAAACCAAGTCTCCAAGGTCGTATATCACGTGCGTATGGTTTTGACCGTTTTTCACGTGTTAGACCGATTGACCAAGATACAAAAGTGGTTTTTATAAAATAATTATTTTGGGAACCTTTTAAAAATGCTCAGAGGTAAAAATGATGTTTAAAAAATTGAAAACCACGGAGTTGGTTCGGGCGCCAAAAACTGAATGTCGAACGCCGAACACCGAACATTGAATGCCGAACCCCGAACCCCGAGCGCCGAACACCCGAACCCCGAACCCCGAACACTTGAACGCTAAATGCCAAACACCGACCTAGGTGGTTTAGGTTCCGAGCAAGGACCAGAGATTTTAACAATAAAAAGATTTATCAAAAATGTTTATTTTGATGCATAAAAACATTTTATGATATTCTAAAATAATTTTGACTCTTTGAGAACCGAGACTTGAATAGATTATTGGTTTTGATCACAAAAGACCGACGTGACTAAATCTTCAATTCATGATCTTGTCCTTGAGTCTTTTTGGTCTTGCTCCATGCCATTCTTCACGCCTTGAGTTATTCAACAAAAAACCTTCATATCCACGGCAGTTTGGCTATTATCAAAACCTGTCAGAAATGAACACGACTTTAGTTTAACGTACAATGTGTGTTCCAACAATTTCCCCCTTTTTGATAATGGCAAATAAGACGGGGATATGCATGGGGTTTGGATAAAATTCCCCCTTAATAAAATTCCCCCTGAAAATATGCATAGCCCTTATCTTCCCCCTTTTGACATTAACAAAAAGATTTAATAACAAAAACCATAAAGATTTTTATTAATTATTTAAGGGAAATAGAGGAGTACATAACGGAAGCATATATTTAAAAAATATAATAAATAAAGAATACAAGGAAAAAGAGCTAGAGCTCTAGAAGTCATGTGAGAGGTCATCAAGAAGCTGTTCTTCGTCGATGTCTTCCTCTTCCTCTCCATCACCGCTGCCATCATCATCATCATCTTCTTCTTCTTCTTCAGCTTCTTCGTCTTCCTCTTCTTCTTCTACTTCATCTTCATCATTCACCGCTTTTTCTCCTCCAACGTTGTTAGTCCCACTTGGTTCACCACCGAGGTTTGGCGGAGGAACGTAAGGGACCAATTGAGCGTAGGGGTAGTTGACAAAGTCAAAATACCCGTGAAGCTCACGGCTCACAATATTTACATTTTGTGCCGTTTTGGAGACGTTGGTGTCTATCCGAGAGAGGGTGGCGGTCAAGGCGGCCATTTGCTCGACAATAAACGGGTTGGTTGAAGCGGTGGTGGTCGAGGCAGTGGCTCTTGGTTGGCGGCGAGGACGAGGCTGCGGGAACGTAGCTTCATCGGTTCCCGGGTGGAAGGAGGACTCGTTAATCTCCCAATGCTTCGTCCCTTTGCATTTTGGCCCGACATCCGTCATGATGTGGAACTCATCAAGGATCGCCTTGACAAGAAGAGCATAGGGAAGCGGCCGGTTGTCGGAGGTGGCATTGAACATGTGAGTCATCACAAATTTACACCAATTGATGTTGGCGTAGTGAATCATCGCATGAAGCGTCTTTGTGTCCTCTTGGGAGAGAGTGGTGTGGTTGAACTTCCTGGGCTTGAGAATCCGTGTCAAAACATAAAAAATGAATCGATACACGGGACTCATGGAAGTGATTGTTGGACGCCGCTGTTGGGGAGTGGGGACGAAATTGCAGATTCCCACTAGCTCCAAATGGGTGGTTTCGTTGAACCGCGCACTCTTCTCCCACATAGAGGCCGAGATCCTGTCCGTCCCGATGAAGCCCGGTGAGAATTTGAATGTTCTCCTCATTCAAATAGATCTCCACCCTGTTGATGTTGGAAATCAACGAACCGTCCTCATCCTTTTTCAAGTTCGAGAAGAAGGCTCGAACAAGAAAAGGGTGGTAGTCATTCTTCTTGATGTAGAGGAGGTCGAGGAAGCGTCCACGCTCGTGGATAACCCGTGCCTCGTGAGGGATGGCGCTGTGAATGAATCGGCCGGTGGAGAACCGGGGAGGAAGAATCTCCCGGTGCTCAAACTTCTCCAAGAACCTCGTAGCCTCTGTGCGGTCGTTGAACCAAAGGAACGACCCGTTGAGGTACTTGTGTGTCGATGGTGGAGGAGCTGAGGAAGAAGCCACGTTCTTGCCAGTGTGGGATCTCTTTCGTTGACCTCCTGCCATGTAATCAAATGGAGAGAAGATTTGCAAGATTTGTGACCAAAAAATAGCAAGAAATTGAAGAAATATGATGAATATTTGAGAAGAGATGATCCGAATGAGTAAAAATGGAGTAGATATCACCAATTTATAGTGGAAGAGGTGTAGAGATCCATTGGGATGGTCAAACGAGGATTAAATGCTGATAAGTTCATTTTGATCTTATTTTATTCTACATATTTTAAGCGTTATTGCACGAAAATAGTAATAAATTTACCCATTAAAAGTGTCTACTAGCGACAAAACTGATGTTTTGTCTCAAGAAGAATAAAATATGGGTTCCAAATTAAATTAAGTGAATTTGTCAATTTTATGTATAAATTGGATAAAAAGTTTCAGATTTTAAAGATCATAATACTTCGGAGGTAGAACAGACCAAAACAGAACAAAAATGGGACAAGATCTCGAATATTCGCGAATTGGGCGCTGGATTTGGGTCCTGGGCGTCCAAAGTTGGACGCCGGGGGGTAGTTGGATGCCCAGAGGGTTGGACGACCGCGTACCCTGCCTTATAAATATAGCAGCATGCATCCTCACTCATTCTTCACCATCTCACAACCCATTTCGGGGTTCCCCTTCAAATTGCTCAATATTTCATTGTAGATTAGTTTAGTTATTATTTTTAAGTATTTTCTAGAGGATTTGACTCCCGATCTGTTTTGTTCCGCTTTTACGGATGTTGTAAGTTTTCTTTATTTAATAAAATGATATTTTAATTTATGTTTGCATAGTATGAGTTAGGGTCCAGATCTCTGGGTCCGAACTAGTTGGGTTGTTTATTTTTTTGATGTTAAATTCATGTTGGAATGGTTAATCTATTGTTCTTGCCTTATTTGGTTAATTGACCATATATTGAGAAAATATTGTATGCCAAAAGGCTATGATATTCAAGTACAACGGATTAAGTACAAATCTAGAAATGAATGAGTAGTAATAAAAATATTATTATATCCTTTCATAATCGTTCCGAGAAGACTTTAAAAAACCAATCCTAATCCTCGCCTAATTAGAGTAATTAAACTAATTCCCTTCGTCCACTCCTCGAGAGATACGACACTCGGAGAGAAAACTAACCCTTTACTGGGAAGGTTTACTACCCGAAAAACTACAACTGTCAAATGGCGCCGTTGCCGAAGAGTGGCACGTCATTAGTTTAATTTCTTTTAATTAGCTTGGGTGAAGATTGGTTAGAACGATCTTCTCACTTCTTTTTCACCAACCACCCGTAATAATTATTATGGATGACTCCAGTGGTTATTACAGTCCGCCTTCCTTCTACCATTCACCCAACCGCCCTCCGTACCATCCACCTTAGCACCCACATAAGAACCCATACGATGATGACTACCAAGTCAACAATGGGTCTGACTACTATCCTTACCATGAGGAACCACCATATGATACCCCGTCTAGAAACTTTGGATATTCTCCATACCAAGATTCTGATGTGGATTATGAACCTCATGGTCACCAAGATGACTATGACCAATTTGGGCCTATATACAACGATCAACCTGATCCGCTCGTCGAAGAAATCCTAAGATTAGAACAGAAAATTTTCTATTTCGACGAACTTTTATTCGCTAAAGGCTCCTAGTACGAACCACCCTACTCCTGTGACTACACTTTGTTTGCTGAAGCACAAATTGAAGCAAACAAGGTGGCAATTTGTTGGAACACGGGTTTACGCCTCCGTCGTACTAAACTGTGTTCGTCTTTATGACAGGTTTTGATAATGCCAAACCGCCGCGACATATCAAAGCTAAAGTGAGCAAAACTAAGGCGAAGGAACATGGCATGATGACTTGAGAACCAAGAACCCAGAATCAAGAACGAAGAACTAGAATTGTATTGAGTTGGTCTTAATGTGATCAAGACCGGCACAAAATTCCAAATCTTGGCTCTCTAGGCTCAATTCATAAAAATCTCTTTTACATTTTCAAAAATATTTTTCTTAAGTTTGGCTCAAAACACTTGAGGTTCGCCCAAGCCAAAAACCAAGCCATCCGGCGTTCGGCTTTCGGCTTTCGGCATTGGTTTTTGGCGTCCGAACCAACCAAGTGGTTTTCAACCTTTTATGACTGGTTTTTACTTCTGGACACATTTAAATAGTTCTCCAACAAAAACGCTTCAAAAACCACCTTTCGTTTTTGGTCGTTTAGTTAAAACCATGCGAAACGGCGTAAACTTGGTTAGCCGTGGTTTTCAACTAAATGACGTGGTTTTCAAAATTTTTTACTTGATTTCTTAGCAAAATGCATTAAAAAAACATTTTCAATACTTGGTTTTTATTTTGGAGAACTTACATTTTTGACATCGGCTAACGGCTGACTAAACCAACCATGGGTCTGGCTAAACCAGCCCAACAGCGATGTTGGTGAAACCAACAGCGCTGTCTGGCTTGGGTGGCTGAAAACCATGGTTTGGTGTCAAGTCTTCCAACAGCGATGTTGGATGTTAGACATCGCTGTTGAGCCAAGGTTGGATTTCCAGAATCTTCTAGAACAGCGATGTAGGCCAGAAAGTTTTTGGACAGCGATGTTGACCCAGAAACAGCGCTGTCAGGCCAAAATTCCATCTCTAAAGGCAGACCTAAACAGCGATGTTCTAGTATAGAACATCGATGTAAAGACCTGATCGTTGGAAGGAATTTAAGGCTAAAACTTTCCTTGTTTGGAAGTCAACAGCCAAAACAGCGATGTAGGGGTTTTTGGACATCGCTGTTGGCATGACCGTTGCTTCCCAATTTTTAAAATCAAGCCTAGAACAGCAATGTCCAGCATAGGACAGCGCTGTCTAGGTGAATTTCAACAGATCCAATTTTAATCAAATCCCACAAATTGTGCCAATCACCCCTTAAATGTGTTGGCCCGTTGGAGCCTTTCTTTCTACTATAAAATGGGGTGTTTTGGGTCTGTGTTACACATAACATTACTTCACAACTCCTACTCTTTCATTGCAAATCATTCTTTAATTATTCATAGCTTTTGAGAGCCATTTTTGTGAAGCTTGTGTTGTGTTCTTGAGCGTTCTTAGTTTACTCATATCCACTCTTAAGGAGAGTCTTGTTCTTGAGTGTCTTAGTGTTGTATACACGTTAAGGGAAGCTTGTTTCCCTTGGTTGTACGAAGGAAAGGTATTTTCCTTCGGGTTGAAGTCTTGGAGTGCG